TAACTGCATCATCATGGTACCAGAAACGGGAGCCGGTTTAGTCAAGCGCAAACCAACTGAAGGGCAAGGTCGATTGTTATGTGCTATTTTATCATCCTCAGCAAAGACATGGGACCGGAAGCGGAATGATGACCGATTGAAGGGCAACGACGAGCTGGAAGGCACGGAAGAATCACCATGGCCCAACGCCATACTAGAATTTACCGAGTTCGATAAATGGATCGAGAGCGAAGATGCCCGCGAATTACCTACACCAGTAGCTTGTCTATTGAGACAATATCGGCTGCTATTTCCTGATAGTCTTCCAAACGGATTACCCCCTAAACGCCCCTTCGACCATAGAATCCTCCTTATACCAGGAAAGTTACCCACTAAGGCTCCGATTTACAAAATGCCACCAGATCACATGCTTCATCACTCTCAAGAGATTCAACGGCTCTGCGAGAAGGGGTGGATCGGACCCACCTATTCACCAATTTGCGCACCGACTATAATGGTAGACAAAAGAGATGACGGCTCGGGCACAAGAAAGATGCGAATGGTGGTAAATTACCAAGCACTCAACTCCTTAACAATCTCCACAGAGTTCCCCATGCCATGTATACAGACGGTACTGGAATTAATAGGCGGAGCCTCCTATTTCTCAACCTTAGATCTCGAAGCGGGCTTTCATCAGATTCGAATGGCGCGGGAGGATCGCTGGAAAACCGCGTTCCGATCTATCCAGGGCCTATTCGAATACAAGGTGATGCCGTTTGGCTTAAAAGGGGCGCCAGCCACCTTTCAAGCAAATATCAACGCCTACCTACAACCCCTTCTTGGACACGGAGTCATTGNCAAACGGGAATTAACATACTTAGGTTATACGATAGGCTATGACGGAATTAAACCTGCGGCGGATAAAGTCAAGGCAATCCAACAGTGGCCGGAAACCCTGGCCAACGAGACGCAGGTGCGTCAGTTCCTCGGCACAGTAAACTACTGCAGAATGTTTATGGGGCCGAGATACGCGGATCTCGCCCGGCCCCTAATTGAAC